CGATGGGCTGAATTGCACAAAACGCATGATTGCACCGGCTAGTCTGGTGCGCGTTGCTATTTATTGCTTTTCAGAACGCTGTAAGGTTTGTGAAGTTAAACGACAAGCTATATTTGTCGATCTGATATACGAGAGTAGTGAATTTCGCTATGCGTGTTTTTCAACAGCGATTCAAGCGTGGCATTTTTGTCAGGGTTTCATAAGTAGAAAAAAAAAAAAACTCTAAAAAGATATTTTGGAAAGACAGACTGTGCCCTTTTCCCCATCACAGAAACAGTGAATATGCGCAACAAATAAGAGTCACCAAACTTAAGCACTACTCAAAACTTTTCCCCCAGAACTTCAAAATACCGCTCCTATGCAACAAGAATTGTTGGCTAAACAACTGAACTGTTTGTGAAATCCGAAATAACTGAAAATACAAAATTCAAGTGCTGCGACGTACCGTAGGCATGCGCATTGGGCCAGCACTCGGAGGTAGTCGCTGTGGCTGCATGGGCCGCATCTGTTCGCCAAACATGTGAGGACCGGCCCCTGGAAATCCGGCACCAGGAGGCATGCCGGCCGGGCCCGGCGGACCATTCCTCGACGGCATTCCGTAGCGCGGCGGAACCGGAGCGAAACTTGCCGAAGGCGGCACTCCTAAATCAAGCATTTTGTTTTGGTTCCTCAGTACGGCTGTAGTAACGATGAATTATGAAAAGGAGCGAATACCTGAAATGGGCGACGACTGACTGGTGGAGCCTGAGGGCCCTGGCTGCCCGGTTCGTGGCGGATAGTATCCGGCCGGCATCAGTCCATCTGGTCCTGGGCCCATGCCTAGTGGACTGGCTGCTGCTGACGGGAACTGTAATCAGAACATTCGTAAAACATAAAACAATGAAACTGAGATCAAGTGATGTGGCTTCTCAAAGGCACTACAGTGTGACGAAAGAAGAAATTAGAACGGTGGTGGTAGGATGAGGGAAAAAAGTGAACCAGATGAGATCCGTGCATTCCGTTCATCAGAGGAGCGCCGGCTGGTCCCGGCGGCGGTACGCCATGTGCTGTGTTCATAAACCCCTGAAATCAAAAGAATGCTTATCACATGGAGTTCTATACGCAGTTTTAACAAAAGGCACAAAAAAAACCAAGCCAAACTCACGTATTCATGGAAAGCTTTGGCTTCCTGCGATGCTTCACAAGTGTCCCGTCTCTCGGGAGCTGCTGAGTAAAGATCCCAAAACAAACTGCAAATAGCCACTTTAAATAAATCGAAAAAAACAATACGCACTAAACCATATCCCCCCAAAAAAGGCTTTACTGCTGCGAGAGAAAAAAAAAAACCCAAAATCGACTACGAGAAAAACAAGCCAAAAAAGGCTTTACTGCTATGCTTTTGGGCTTAATTTTTCTACTCCTTCCCTGCTCTTCCGAAGTGAATACGAAAAATAAATCGTGGCCCACGGAAGCCAACTTGGACGATCCAAAGAAACCAAAATGCTCTTGAAACAAGTGAACGGCCCAAAGAAATCAAAATATGAAACGGCCGAAGGCAGAAAGTTAAAACGAATGGTGGGATAAGTTTGTTAAAATAATTTGCGGAGGCTGAAAGGCCGTACCGTAGTCTTTAAAACAAATGGACGGTCCGAAGCATGAAAAATGTGGAACGGCCACAATAAGCATGACGCTACCTGCACTATGCTTAGCCTCTTCGGATACCAGACCAGGCACCACTACATGTTTGGCTGACCAACGAACAAACAGCTTTAACGTGCGGGGAAAAAGCTGGGGCGCACAGAGGCAAGACATACGGGGGTGCGCGTCTCTCAGCCCGACCGTTTGTCTGTAACAACCCTAGCACAAATACAGACAAAAGTATGCAAAAGTGCCATCAGCGGGGAAATATTTTCGGCTAAAAGGGAGACCTAAGTAATACTGAAAACTAGCCGCTGTTCAAATGTAGATACCACTAAGCACAGAAAGTGATCGCATACCTAAAATTAACGAACGGTGCACTACACACATCTACCCTTCCCACAGGAATGAAGGCAAGAAATGTTGGGTAACAGGGCGCTAATTACTCAACAATGCGATCTCAACCCAATGCTACCTTGGATTAAATCATTCTCCCAAGAATTTCAGTTTAATTTTTACAAATTCTTCGACAAATATGTGACAAAAAAACAATGAAAATCTCTCTTTTTACAGTCGAAGCGGAAAAACCGTTCAAATCGCTCGAGGATGGGAAAAAAATGTAAATTTCACTAGCTCAGTACAAAATCCATGTGGTAACTTATCGCTGCAAAATTACAACAGAAACAAAAAAAGCTAGTTACAGGAGACAAATCCGGTTAGGAAGAGAAAAATACACTGTCCTACAAGGTCGGGCAACACCTTGAAACAGAAATCTACAATTTGCATGGCAGAATTTATAAGCAAATTTCAGGAACTGAATCCCAACACATGTTCGTCTTGTGCAGTGCTCCCTTACAAATACCTCTCTGAACACAGTTCACAGAATTAGGCTGAAAGAAAAATAAGCTTTTTGGGTCGAAATGCTTCCCATTTCCCTTAAAAAGTTGGAAGGGATGCGCGGGATCAGCCTGCGGATTAACAAAATCCGTTTTGAGCTGCTAAAATCGGAAACTGTTTGTTATTTTATTTCTAAAATAATTTTGGAAGAAATGAAATCTAAGAGTGAGAAAATTAAACTCTCAATGAACACTTGACAAAGTCTGCAAAACATCTACAGCCTGCTTTCCTTTTTTCAAAATGTATCTTAAGCCAAATTCTCTTCCTCAAATAATGTTTTCTCCTCCCCTAATGCTAAAATCAACGGACAAAAAACACAAAAAATATCGGTCAAAGTAACGCCACACTAAAAAAAAGACCAAAAAAAAGCCCAAGTTCCCAGAAAGACATACCCCCCTCCTCCCCAACAAGTCACAAGTAAACTACCATAACAATAACTGAAAAAAAAAAGAGGTGCAAAACTAACAAGAACCAATTTTGCAAGAATCCCGGAGCATCGCCAATGTTAATTTGCTTGGACGCATTGTTCTGCTGAAAAAACTGTTGTAAATAACCTTTACATCTTCACCGCAAATCTCTTCCATATGCCAGGCCGAGAAAAAAAAAGAAGCAACAGGCTCTGCCCGTTGCTTGATTTATTTTGCCAAAAACTACTGAAAAAAGGGGGAACTCTTCGGGAGGTCCGGAGCTGAATTGAGACAACACATGAAGAGCACTGCAAGAAAGCGCTGATCTTACCGCAAGCATTTCGCCCTTGAAGGATTCGGCAGTTTTTGTGGCACCATTATGCACCAAATATTCATACACAAATCCAGCAAGTCTGCAAGAAAATT